GATGCATTAAGGAATAATAAGGTAAATACCATTTTGTTCCACATCTATCTTATCTAGTCATTTGCACTTTTTCGTACAGACACTTACCACGCTAAATCTCAGGCACAATGGAATCGGAGAGAAACTCCAGGATGAAATCGATGAGTTCATTCAGCAGAACAACAGAGTGGCAAAGTTGTGAATGTTGTCATCGACGATGTATTGATCACTAGTAGAAAACTAGTAATTAATTTGTGGATGAATTTGTTTACTGGGCATAGTCGTAACTAAATATAAAAAGAACCGGTTTATTTTATATATGATTTCTATTAAAAGAATATTATTACGACAGGTTTTTTGTTCACATGTGCTGCTTTTTAGGTGATGCATGTTTTATGATGATATTCATGGTAGTTGACGGTAGATTATAGTATACTGCGAAATTATATATAACTGAATCTCGTTGTTTGAAAAGGGACATATGTTATCAATGATCGTCAAAAAGTGTCTGTGGAACGAAGAGTATTGACAAGAAAATTACTATTCAATATCTGTTTTTTTGGAATAAAATCTGTAGATATGAAGTTCGATTGCGTGTTGAGATTGCAATATCGTCGGATGTATAAATGGTTGAGGGGTAGAGAACTGCTTAGTTTTTGGTCAGAAATATCACTTTAATATTTTGTATCAGAAACAAGTGTTTGATTTGGAATTAATGAGTATTGTTGGTAACTGAGATTATGTAGAGTTTCTTTTAGTAAATGTTGAATTGTACGTTGGTATTATAATAAAATGAAAAGAAACGTATGAGTTGTACACAGTGTATAAGTATGCCAGAAAACTCGATGAAAAAGATTTCGAATTTAGTTTGCATATACAATAGATTTCATTTCATTCTAATAGAAATATAACTAAATTACGAGTGGATCAGTTTTGTAGAAAGAAAGTCTGTTCGTTGAATGTGGATGTTAATTCATCTTTTCTTTACCCACACCCTCACCCTATGGATAATGTCATATTCGTAAATTTCCTCTCGATTGTTTTAGTAACTTCGAATAATTTCAATTATAAATCGATCTATGATATTTTAGAGCTTTGTAAATAATCGTGAGGATTGTGTGTAAAAAACAATAATTAACGTTTTATTTATTCTAAATATGAGATCTAAAGTAATTATTCATTTCGAATATTTTTCTCATAAGATGATTCAATAATATATGAGTAAAAAATCAAATATTAGTATACTGTAATCGATCATTTTCGATTTTATTAAAATCAATATCATGAATCATATAGATTAGACATGTGCACGGCAGGATAAGGGTAAGAGAAAAGCTTACCTTGTGCACGTCTAATATAGATTATTTTCAATTAATTTATAAATGTAACGAATAAATATAATTTAATATTAGACAGAATTGTTTTTATCCAATTTTAAATAATCAGATATACCATTAAAGGGTGTGAGTATAGCAAAAACAACACCCTCACCCTCAAACAATAAAATAGAAAAAGAATATTTATTCATGATTTTTAGTTAATTGAACCATCGATAAATATAAATTATATAGTTTAATTTCATACTTTTACTTTTAGTAAGTATAGTTTTATTTAAAATCTTATCATAAATTAATTTTTATGTTGTTATTTCAGAATGTGAGTATCAAAATAATTATTCGTTGAGATTATCTTGAAGGTGTGAGTGTGGGTGTGATGGTAATATATCGATCTCATCCACATCCACACCCTCAATATGCTTATGATAAATAACAACATACATCTACGATCAACAACTGTTATGATAGAAGATACTTCTTTATTATATGCAAAAAACAACAATATGATGAAAAAACTACTTAGTAGAATTGATAACCATAAGGGCTTCCGTATCCTCCATATCCCATGCCGGTCGTTGGTGTAAATTTATTTTCATGTACGACAACCGCTGCTCCATTATAAGGATTTCGGTTTATCTCCATCCCTTGTTCATAGACACCGAATCTGCAACAAAAAAGACATAGATTCATCGAAAAGAATAGCTACAATATACCCTCGTGGACCAAAACCCATGCGTTCCTGTTCGTATCCTTGTTGTATGTAACCACCACCACCACCATATCCATAGCCATACATATTTTACAGTCGAGAATGAATAATAAGAAATGAAAAGTGTATTAAAGAGAAGAGTATTTTATAGGAGACCGACGGGCGTTTTGAAAAAGAGACGCAAGATTGATCGATTATGTATGATGACGAAAAGTTATTCATCGTATATTATTATCATGCATATCGTCATTTTGTGTTCTTAGGAGTGAGATAGAAGAAGAACAGGGCGTTCACTCCTTTCTATTCATTGAAAAATACAAAGCGTTAACGTCATTACGAATGCATTATTATTCCCCTTTGTTTTCTTCCATTATGTGTATTTGCATAACACGTGTATCGATCGAACAAAATATTTGTTTGCAAGACGCAGATTACGTCATATTTTTGTTTCATCATTATATTAAGTTTCTGTAAACAATTGCTTATCGATATAAACTATCGTGATGAACAAGCGGCGAAAAATAAGTAATCAGAAATAAATGTTAATGTTTTTTTATAATTTTTATTTGATTTTCAATGAATCAGAAAAAAAACAAATCAGTTGCCAATAAATATAATAAACGACTTGTTTCGAATTTTCTGCTGATCATGTTCCTATGTACTTACTCTGTACGTCATTATATACCACTAGATTTTGTTCTCTGCTCCTGCTCTCTCTGTTTCCTTAAACTCTCATCCTATAAAATTATCTAGCAATTACTTCTACAAAAACTACAATGAAAAAAAGCACACAGATGCAAATAATTCTAAAACTACTGAAAAAGTTAGTATATTGTCATCGCTAATTGTTATGGTTGAGCGTATCTTAAAAAGATCAAATAAGGAAAAGGAGTACTTACTTTTAATTATTACTTTAATTGTCTTAGTATTTTCTTCATTATTGTTTTTGATGGTTTATTTTTCTCTATTACATATTCTTTAAACTATCTATTTAATGATGAGCTAAAATGACCTAGGGTGTGAGTCTGGATATTAGATAAAGATAGTATTCACATCCACCCTCAAGATATAATAACATAATTCAATTTCATACTTTTACTACTGTTAAATACAGTTTTGTTAAAAATCTTATCATAAATTAATTTTTATGTTATTATTTCTGAATGTGAGTATCAAAATAAAAATTCGTGGAGATGATGCAAAATCAATTATTTAGATAAAAAGATGTAGATCAAATCAAGATGCTTTTATTATATACTATTATGAACCATCAAAAACAAGCTTCCTTACTCTTGAGTATTCCAGTTGATATATTCAACTTTAACTGTTATAACTCATTTTGTAGGTGTGATGACACTTAATTTCAGATTAGCCAATTAATAGAATTTGTTGATTTTAGGTATCTAATAATATCATTCAATCTCATATGAATATTCACGAAATTTCTATTATTCAAGCTGAAGTAATTTTAGAATTATCGATATTAAATTTTACTATTTTATCTACATTTACTCTTAGACGTATGATTTATTAACAATAAATATTCTTGATTCAATTGTTATTGTGTATGATGGCAACATTTATAATCATCTTGAGGGTGTGTGTGTGGATGAGAGTAAAGATATAGATCTGAGACCCACATCATCATCAACAATAAAAATATCTCAGTTTGTGGTAGCAAATTCTAGTTAGTGCAAAATTACTTATAATAAAGCTAATAGGATGAGATTTGTAATATATTAGATTAATTTTAATAATTTCTATTTATGAACAAAAACGTTCATGTATCACATTAGTAGAGTTCATAGAGTTTTTCGTCGCTTATATTTTTTATGAAAAAACTGATTGATGTACTTCACGCAACTGTAAATTCTATGTCGATAAATAAAGTTAGTACGAAATATGCGATTCATGTATTACTATCTCCAAGAAAAAAGTGAATCACGTGTTTTATAAATAAAAAATAAAATCTAACAGAAATATTCTAAACGACCTTTGATCATTCATTAGACGTCTCTTCAACATTATAACTATACAATTAATTAGTTTGTAATTGATCCAATTGTAAATTAAACTCAATAGAAACTGTTTGTCGCTAATATTTTTGTTTCTTATGTTTTCTAGTGCATGTTTATATTACATATTTGAAACCAATAAGATAAAAGATAAATTATATAAATATTTAGAAGTTATCGACTGTAATACCAAAAGAAATATAAATGCACTCACATTAAAAGAGTAATTACACGAGACTTCTTTTTCAACGTAAATATTTTAATTTTCTAAAACTGTAATAAACATATTTATGTTTAACGCCTACACTTATAATTTTAATCAGAATTCTCAAAATTGTGACGCCGTTGTTAGTTACTCTAGGAGATAATATATAAAAGTACATGAATATACCTCAAGTTATGATTTCTTATATTTTTGATACATTATGAAGATTTATATTAATGTAATGTTTGAACTAACAATTTTCAAAATAGAAATGTTGACGTGGAAACAGAAAACTATAGTAAATTACTGCTATAGAACTATCGGAAATGCAACAAGTCAAGAGTAATACATTTGTTAATTATATTTTCTTAAAGCAACCATTCATATTATATATATATATATCATAATTTCACTTTTCTAACTTTAACATTATCTTTGTATAAATATGAGTGGACTAACTGAAATTCAAATAGTTCAAGGACAACTTCTTCGTTATATGCCTCTAACAACAATTGTAATTGGTACAATTGGTAATATTCTTAATTGTTTAATATTTACACGTCGAAAACTTAGTCGCAATTCTTGTTCAATCTATTTTCTTGCATCAAGTATTGCAAATTTCTTTGCAATTTATTTTGGATGTTTAACACGTTTATTAGGCACGTTTAATATTCAACCTCCAGCATCTCAAATGGGTTTATATTGTAAAATAAAAACATTCTTAACTTATATTGGTTTAGCTTCTTCAGCATGGTTTATAGTTGGCGCATGTGCTGATCGTTATGCATCAAGTGCTGCAACTGTTCGTGTACGATCATTTAGTCAAGTGAAAGTAGCTCGTCGTGTTGTTTTAATCATATCAGTTCTTGTTTTTCTTATTTATTTTCAAATGAATTTTTGTTTTGATGGTACTATTCAAGCAGCTAATTGTTATCCAGCATCAGGATTTTGTAATGGATGGAATGATTATAATTTACTTATAACTTTTAGTTTGTTCCCACCAGTACTAATGTTCATATTTGGTTGGTTGACAATTCGAAATGTTCGTACTACAGGACATTTACGACCACAGACAAGTGTTAAAGATCGACAATTAACTGCAATGCTTCTTATTCAAGTTATTAGCACAGCTATACTTACATTACCAATATCAATTCAAAAGCTTTATTCAGAAATCACATTAAATCAAGTGAAAAGTCAACAATCGAAATTAATCGAAAGTTTCTTTGCTACTTTTGTTGTTTTATTAGCTTTGATGAATACATCAACATCGTTTTATTTATTTACATTGACTGGAAAAATCTTTCGAAAAGAATTAAAAGATTTAATTTGTTTAAGACAAAGACAACCTACGGTTGAACCAACAATGGCGATGACGAAACGCTAGAAAATAACTTTACAGTGAAAATTCTATATATACTTTTTTTACTCTATAATCTTTTAATACGTCTAATCCGTTCCAAAATAATGTTTACAGAATGTAATCAGAATTCTTTGTAATTAAATATAATATTTTACTGTTCAATGTGTTATTCTTTTGTATGAGATCAGATATATCTTTGAAAGATAATGCACTTATAATAGAAAGATGATTTCTGTCTATTAATCCAGGGATAAAAATAATTTGTTTATACACATGTGGATGAATTGTGTGTAAAGAAGAAAGAGAAAACGAATAAAATCTTCATGTCATAGTCATTTGTATATTTTAAATCATAATAAGCATGACTAGTAAACATCATAATCAATCCTCTCGTCGTCATCCACTTAAACGTGTACGTCCAGATAATGAAAATCAAGGTTCAATTATATCTTCGAATGGACGAAATAATAAAAAATTTTGTCGTCAACCTTCTGAAGGTATTTCTCTTATTATTAAGAAATATTAATTTTTTTCTTCTTTTATTAAGATTCAGCATTTATTGACACAGAAAAATCTTCAGATGAACGTGCATTTGATCTTTTTCATAAGTAAAATTTTATAAAAAACAAAGACTAGAAATTTAATTAATTAATCTTTTTTTTTCTTAGAGAATATTTTCCACAATTTCGTCCTTATTTTAAACATCGATCTATTGTTATACAATTTATTGAACATTTATGGTCGAATATGATTGAATTTTCTAAAGTATCATTTGTTAAAAAAATTCTTAAAGAACAAGGAATTTATGATGTATCTACGACAAATTTTAATGATACTGAAACATTTTCTAATGACGGTAAAAAAATCGAAAATTTTTAATAAAAAAATTAATTTTTATTTTTCATAGAAAATGATTCTCAATTAAGTAAATCATTAAATGAATCAAATCGAAGTATTTCAACATGGAATACAAATAATCGATATAGTCGAAGTTTTATAAATGAACTTTTATCTTATTTAAAATATTCGGTAACACCTCGATTTATAGATAAAAAGTAAAACGGAAAATATTTATTTTCTTATTCAAAATATAATTTCATTTAATTAATAGATCATCATCAAAAATAATTGCACCACTTCGTCGTTCATCTCGTATTCGTCGAGCACCAATAAAATGTGTTTGTTCAACATGTATTACTACACGTGCATCTGAAGAACATTCATCTTCGACATCAATTATAAACGATGATTCAGGTTTAATTTCATTTTATTTATGTTACATATATATTTATTTGTTATTTTAGAACATAAAATTTTTCAACATTTAATTGAACATTATCATCAACTGTAAGTTTATTTATGATTTAACATATATTACATAGGATGATTCAAAAATCCCCAAAAATGCATTCATAGTGAATATTCGAAATAGTTATGTGAGATATTTCTCGAGAAGTTTTATCGTTTCAATCTACTCTTTAGATATTCCTTTGAAGTAAACAAGATGTAATGAATTGACTTTCTTGGTTATTGTCTATTTAAATCTATGCTGAATACATCTGAACAACAAAGATAATGGAAGTCTAGTCTAATGTGAGTACGGTCGATAAAGTTTACAAATAATAGGATTTCATATGTTGTGACAAGAAGCGAGAACAAACCCGGTTCGATTCGCTCCATGCATTCAATATACTTTATCTTGTTGTGATTTGTAATTCATCAGTTTTTAATGTGATGCGAATAGCAGAAGCATTTATGTAGTCCTTCGCGAGTTTTCTTCCTTTCTCGACGTACGCAATACGCATTCAAAGTGGTCATTTTGTGTCACAATTATCTCAGCAATAGAACATCAGAAACTACTCATTTAAACGCAAGAATAAAATATCGAGATCGAACTAATATGACATGTTTTTTGACTTTCAATAGGATGTCTAGTTCGTTTACAGGAAGCGTCACAAAAACACGATTTCGAGATAATTAAAACGAAAAGTAAAAGCAAAAGTTAGGCGCCATTTTTCTCTAACAACTGTTTTACAGCTGCTAATAGATAATGAATCATCTATATAATGTTGTGAAAACCATAAAATCGTGCTTCGCATCGCATTTCGTAGTCGCGTGAAACTCGAATACCATCTAGTTCTTTACTGCGATTCATATTGTAAATCCATTAGCAGCGGTCAATGTCATATTTTTAGCATAATATTAGTAACAACAAAGAGTTTACATCTTTCTAGTGATGATCAATATATTAATATATCAAATTCATCGATATTAACCGATATTAATAAATGTAATGAAACAACTGATAGTCAAATACAAATGCCATTATCGGAAGTATGTTTTCGTTAATTTATTTTCAAAATTTCTATTTATATAAAATAGGTTATAGAAACGGTTACACATACAGCAATATCACCACCATCATCGCCCATAATTCCTGCAGCATCAGTTAATAATTCGTCGGCACTTTCAGAATCATTTGAAGTATTTGTTGATCCATCGGCAATTTCTAATGAAAAAATTACATTAGATACATCAGTAGCACTTTCAGAATCATATGAATTATTTGTTGCACCTTCAACGAGTTCTAATGAAAAAATTATATTAGATGCACCACTTGATCATTCGATCGCACTTTCAGAATCATTTGAATTATTTGCTGATCCTTCATCAATTTCAAATGAAAAAATTATATTAGATACACCAGATGAACGACCACCACCACCAGCAAGACGTACATATGTTATTTTGACCGAACTTGATGAACCATTTTTTGGTCCTTATCCAATTGAATTTACTATAACAATTTGAATAACATTTATTTTTCTTTTTTCAATTTTTTTTTGTATTAAAAGTTCTATTATACGATTTTCCCGGTTGCTTGAGATATATTTTGTAAATCTATAGTTAGTTTTTGTCATTCTATTCTTTTTTCTTTCTCGTTGTTTATATTTTTTGATATCTTTTGTGTTGATAAAAAATGTAGTCTTTATTTCAATGAGAATCTCTCTATATATCTTTACTATTTTGAAACATTTCCTTTCTTCTTTCTTTTTGTTGATATTGTTGTGCAATTGATCTTTATTCTATGATGAACAGAAACAATATATATATAAATTTAGAAAAGTGCCATTATTTATTTAATAAAGCATTTCTCTTAATAAGTATTTTATAATTTCAACTGTTTTACTCTCAAAACTAAAAAGTAACGTATGGGGAAGTATGCGTGAGTTATGTTTCAAGTGTATTTATGCAGTAGGCATGAAATTATGTATCACTCTTCCTGGATTATATATGTAATTATTAATCAACAACTCGATGTTTGGCATTGAATAAATAGAACATTTTTCTAGTGCTGATCACGTGTATAGATATCATGTGATATGTGCACGAAGAAAAAATTCCTATGAAACCTCTAGGAATATATAGGGAAAAACTTTAAAATTATCCGGTAGATGTCTCTACTATAATTAATAAATTTTATTTACAATAATTATTTAAAATTCATATAAATTCGATTTAATCTCTAATTTCTTGTTAATTCAATTGTTTTGATTTGAATAAATAAAAATATTCCAATAGAGTCTTCACTATAACAATGGTGGCGATGATGTCTTGTCATTTGTAAACTATGGTTGTTGGGCATAATACACACACTCATACGACATATTTTGTTTTTTGATTGTTATATAGTGACATGATTTTTGTTTCTTCATCAATTTTATAATTTACTCATTTTCATTTGTTCATAGTTTAGAATATCTAATACTTATTCTTCTCAGATGGCTGCTATGAGTGTGAAACCACCTAATTCAACATATACATTTGCGAGTCAACCGAAAGCTGTTCAACAACAAGGACAGCGACAAAAATTTCGACAAGCACCTGTTGAACCACAGTAAGTGTAATATCAATTGGAATTTTCCTATTAATTTCTATTTGACTTATCATTAATATAGAGATGAAAACAGTTTGTATGCAAATTTAATGTATGATCGTCGTGTTATACGTGGCAATACTTATGCTCTTCATACACTTCCTGCTGTAAGTTATTTTAATTGTTTCGTTTTATTATTTAATGAAAGTATATTTTGTTTTTAATATTTAATAGCATGCTCAACCAGATCCAATTGAAGTTCAACGTCAACAAGAAGCTAAACGACGTGCTATAGCTAGACGAAAGGCTCGAGAACAAGTTCGTACTAGAACACCAGAACCAGTTCACGATCGAAGAAATGTCGATGTTCAAACAGAGCTTTACCTTGAAGAACTCAGGTAAATCTATTCCCTTATATTTTCTCCTTCAATACAAATTATCGAATGAAAACGTTGTATATAGACCTTGAATGAAAAGTTTTTCTAAGAAGTTGAAATGAAAGTTGCCCTACTTACATGCACTATAAATGTAAAACTACAGAGAATAATTTTATATAAGAAGGTCTCTATGGTTCGATAATATTTATTTTAGTGATCGAATTGAAGAAGCCGATGTTGATGTTCAAACAGATGCTTTTCTTGATCGACCACCATCACCTCTATTTATTCCACAATCAACTGGCAAAGATGTTTCTACTCAAATTGAAGATGGCGACGTAAATTTTGTTTTTCCTTAATATCTATTTCTTTTTTAAATTAATCATTTTAGTTATTTGATTTTGATCTTGAAGTGAAACCTATTGTTGAAACTTTAGTTGGTAAAACAGTTGAACAAGCATTAATTGAAGTCGCTGAAGAAGAAGAATTAGCAGAAATTCGTGAACAACAACGAGAATATGAAGAATTACGTAATGCTGAATTAATTGAATTACAACGATTAGAAGAACAAGAAAGACGTTTAAGAGCTGAAAAAGATCGTCGAATGAGACAAGCACAAGATTCACTTCAAGCTGAACAAGATGTTGCACAAAAAGTTGCTGCAAGAGCTTTTGCTAAAGCTTACTTACAAGATCTTGTTCCAAGTGTATTTAATAACTTAAGAGAAAATGGATACTTCTATGATCCTGTTGAACATGGTATTTCTTCAAAAAACAAAAATCAAATATTTCGACTTTTTTTTATTTTCTTATAGAAATTGAAACATCATTTATGCCATGGTTAGTAGATAAGACATTGACACATGTTAATCAATTGGTACTTGGTCGAACTATTCTTGATTCAATTATTCGAGATGTTGTCAATCAACGAATTGATGATTATGAAAAACTAGCTGATACACTTCGACAAGTGAACATTTTTGATTAATTTAAAATTATTATTTTATTTATTTTTTTCTTATTAAAAAAGGTCATTGAAGGTGCTGTTGATATGGGAACATCAACAGGTGATGTTGCACAAGGTTCAGGGCAAAATACTGATCGACCAGAATCAGCTCATGGAGAACATCATGGTCATTCAGAACATCATATAAATGAAGAAGGAGAAAATCACACTGGTGCCTTACTCAATGGTAAGTTTGTTTTTTTTTGTGAAATGAAATAAATTTGATATTATTTAGATGAAGCTATTGATGAACGTGATGAAGATCAATTAAATGCCGAAGAAGATGCTGGTGGTGAACAGTAATTTGATCTAAATAAATATTTCTTTTTTGCTTCTAAACTTAGTTCATGTATTTGTCTATGGCTGCGTTTTCATTTTATCGTCGAAAAATAAAATATCAGAAGATTTTTTTTTTTCATTTCAGTACAAATTACTTTTTGTTTTGTTCTGTTTAATTATTAAACATTTCTTTTTCGTATTAATATCATTTCATTTATTTATACATATATAACGTTTACCTAATTTAAATCGCGTGATAAGTTATAAAACAATATTAATATTTTTGTACAGGTTTTATCGAAAAGAATAATTAGTTCTTCAAAAGTTTTAGTTACAATAAATAAGTTACGGAAGGTCAAATTAAGTGAGCTCCAAATTGGAAGTTTTCCCACAAAGTATAGCTTCTAACTGTATGCTGTTTTTCTTGAGCATCACCGGTCGACTCAGTACCGTCTACACTATCTATTAGAACAATCAAAAACAGATGATAACAGTTTTCACGAGAACTGACACAGCTGTAAACTCCAAAATTTCTGTATTGATGTAAAATTTCAATTTAAATATGAATAATAGAATGAATTTTTTCGATAAGAAACAAAAATAATTTATTGATTTGAAGTGATTATTGAAGGAAATATGAATTTTTGAATAGATTTGTCTTTAAAAACATGAGGTGAAATATATTAAAAAAAATGATTTTTACGTGAGAAAATTTGTAAAATTGTTTTGCTCGATAATTGTTTGACATGTTCTGCAAATAAAACTAATTTTTATACTTGTCAGATATGTCAAAAACATTTTAGAAAAATTAATCAAAATTTTATCTTATATAAAAATAACTTTCCGTTTTAAACTGGCTTTGATATACTCTTTATTAACATGAAAATATTGTTATATAACCTATCGATTTCGACAATAAAATTTTCATGTTGAAGGAAAAACTAGCGCACTTAAACGAACAAAGCTTTTATTTTTTTTCTAGGTATATAAATTCTTTTTTTTTCTATTGAAATAAACGATCATGTGAGATCTATTTAATTAAGAAATGACATGCAATAAAAGCGTTTACTTATAGAAAAATGATTTATTATGTTTGACACAAGAAAAATTATTACAGTTCAAATTTTTCTAATCATTAAATATTATTAAAAAATACTTTCAATGATTTATAATGTTCCCGTCAACCGACAATTTCTATTATCAAGAAAGTTATGAGATCGAAAAGATAAAATATTTGCAAAATTTTATTTTGCGAGGAGATTTTTATTGATATTTAACCCATAAAAGCTGAGTGTCTGTCCCAGGGGACATTACATTAGTTGCTATAAAAATAGACAATAGAATCTGACATGTAAAAGCTATTATTTACTGGAACGAAGAAGTTAGATCGATGACAGAATGGAAAAAAATCACGATAAAACGATTATCAATTACTAGAAAATAGTTTTTCAAATACAATTTTTATACTCAAAAATATTTCTATCAAATCATCTAGATACAATAGGAATTCTAATGTTATTAATAAAATATCATTTTACGGAGATATTTAGTTTTAATAACTAAAGGTATTGTTAATTTTTTTACTTAATAAATAATATAAGACCTATTAGAATATTATCGGAGTGAGCTTTTCAATTCTATTTGAGACGATTGTAAGCGAACAATCAAGGGTAAAACTTTCTGTATTCTCAACTATAGTACAAGCATCCTCTGGGACCAGAATCGCTATTTCTATGTTTAGTTTTCTTTGTGTCTGGAAAAAGAATCCCTCGACACTTAAGGACTATATTTGATCAAGCTCGTGTCTAATGGTTAGATTAAATTTCAAGGTAATATGCAGAGATAAATCTTGTTCGAACTATTTTCTTTTTACGAAAGATAAATCATTTTGATAATATTCAACAAAGAAATTATTTATGTAAAAAGGAATGCGGGAGAATATTATTTAATATTTTTTTCTGAAAAGGTTACTTATTTTTAAAGAAAATTCTCAAACTTTTTTTTTCTACAGTAATTTATCGGATTTAAAGATCTAGGTGACGAATGGAATAAAATATTCTATATAGGTCAATTCATTACTGATGCTAATTCTTGAAAGTTCTTGACTCGGATTATGTTTATCAATAAGGACACATATCATTTAATATTAATCAATTTAATTTCTAACCTCCGACTATTCAGGAACAATAATAAATCATCATTCATCTTCTAATTTATCAATGACTAGGATTTATATATTAATATGAATGAAAAGTTGGTTTATGGTTGTTTTT